GAGTGCCAAGAAACTGCTGATAAGCATTTATGAAGACTTCATATTTATCATTTATGAATCAATTGAGATGATTGAATTTTGATTAATGCTTATGAAACCTTTAAGTGTTACTATCAACAATCAAAATAACTTGCAGAGCACCTAGAGGAGAGAAGTAAAAATTAAAGTCTTTCTTTAAAGAAATCACAGTGTGAATTAAATTCTGAGGCATAAGAGATAACATAATTTCAAAAATTTCTAGAAGAGTTTTGTGATTTTTAAGCTGTATATGACTCTTTACAGGAGAAATAACAGATATATTTGAGTAGTTGTCATTTTAAATCATATTTTCTTACTGTGTCAAATTCCTGCATATGTTTATAAATTAAAAAGCTTTGATATAAAATATAAGTGTATCTTTCATCTATATTTAGATTACTTTATGTATCCAACTGCCTACCAACAAACCTATTTTATGCAATGAACATATAAACAGAATATGGAAAAAAATCTAGTTAGCAAATAGAGAAGCAGAGCAAAAAATGCAATCACGAAAAATAAGAACATACTTTAAGAATTTTTTCAATGCAATAAAACAAACTGAAATAACTTCTTTCAACAAGACGATATGTTTGCATAATATCCCGATGGTTATTTTTAGGTATAGTAACATATATAACACCTTTGTTTAAATGTTGAATTCCTCCAAACATTTTTGGATAATATTCTTAAGTATTCGGGATTGTTAAGCTGATAGCAGTCAAACTGCACAGAAACCAGGAACAGAACACTTGGGGAAAAAAATAACTCAACAAAGGAGAAACAATTTAACATTTGAGCTAATCAAATAACATCTGGAAAGAGCCTAGTCTCTTCCAAAAGAAAATCATTCTTAGCAAAGAGGATGGCATTAAATATGTGATTGGTTTTGGAACTTCCATTTTGAAAGAAATATCTCAACTTAAACTTTAAACATTGTAAAATAAGATAATTTACATAGGAATATAATCTACCTAAACATTACAATATGAACTGCTATATGCTGCTGAGTTTTCATTGAAAATTGTTCAACCACTACAATTTCCTAGTAAAAAAAAAAGATGATAGATTTATTTTTATTTACCTGTATTTTTCTTTTCCTTACAGAAGCTTTGTGTATTACATTTTAAAATCAATTTTAGAATAGGAAACTTTGGGTTTAACATGCAGGGTCTGTATGATGTGCAGCTTTTATTATCAGTCATCTAGAAAGAAATTTCTTTACATTTGTGTACATTCACCTCTTAGAATGTTTCTCAGGGAAACTCACAGAATACACTGACCCAGACAATAGCTACTTAAACAGCTTAAAAGTGCTTCTGATTTAACAAAAAAAATTGTGTGACTAGTGTAACATATAGGCTAAAAGGGCAGGTTTTGAAGGTATTACCAAAACAAAACAAAACAAAAATGCTTCTGAAGCTGACTTCACTATTTATAACTGTAGAACATTAAAAAGTTACCTTGTATTTATTAAGTGTCCCACCTGCCTATACATGGTTTAAAAACAACTTACTTTAAATGTTAGCAAAGTGTGAATAGCTGTTTGGTCATGTGCCTGAGCTATATTCAACTTCTGCCCCTTGACTTGCAGTTTTAAAACAGTTCTTAACTTACTCTTCCATACTTATTTGCTATCACATTATATCAATGGATCAGAATGATTATTTGAGCAAATTCTTCTATGTTGAATCAAAGATACACACAAAAGTCACACGTTTTGCCTGTGGTAAGAGTAAACTCCAACTGTTGTGTTGACTAACACATTTCCGAAAAGATCAGTTCTGTTACATGAAAGATAGACACAAATTGCTTAGATTTTTTTTTTTCAGGTTAGATAGGTAAATGTTCGAAGTAAGTCTGCACTGATTATAGTAAGTGGTAAGAATTCAATAAATTCAAGTCCTGCCTCTGAAGTTGGATGGATAGACAGATGGATATAAACAAGAATACATAGCTAGATCTAAAATAGATAAATGGCATAGATAATGGAGAATGATACAAGGATAGATGAGATGTATATCGAGAGGTAAATAGGGAAAGAGATGAGGGGTGTAAATGATGAGAGAGAGAAAAAAAAGACTAACAGAGACACAGACGTAGACAAAGAGATCTTTCATCTCTACTAGCAGCATATAATTATTTGAAGGCAGGTTTCAAGTCAAATGTATTTTTGAAACCTTGATCAGTCTAACACTATTATAGCTTCAAATAATTTAGCAGATATTTAATAAGTAAGTAAATAAAACCAGTGGGTCAGTGAATAAATAAAATATCATTTTAGCTAATTTTTAAAAGCATGTTTTAAATAAGGTAAAGTGAATCTGTACTCCTACATGATTCACAGATTACTTAAATGTAGCTAGATTCATGAAAATTTCCTCATATTTCCCAATAGATACATTAAAACTACTTGCTTGATAGGCATTTCATACTCTTAAACTAGAAATACATTATACATTATGTTAACTAAAATATATCCCAATTTTTGCTTTTTCTTAAGTGTGAAGACCACATTCTTAAGACATTACTTCTGGTATCAGGTTTATAAATAGGGCTTTTCAACTTGAACTACATTTCAGGCATAATAAATGAGATAAAGTTTGATTTTTCTATAGCAGAAAATGATGCCCTGAAATCAAATTTATCACTAAGTTGGTACATGGATTTGAATTAAAGAGTTAATGTGAACAAGAGGATTTTTGCTTCAGTTTGTTTTTTCTTATGAATAGTCTTCATAAAGATGACACATGCAAATTATCTTATGCAGTCTTTCAAACACTAGGCAATGAACTACCTACCAATCACTGGATGTGTCATATACACAGATGGACATATCTTATGCTGTGTTTCCTTCTATTATGATTCAGCAAACAAGTTAAAATGCTGCTAAAAATTCTGATATATCATAGTAGCACAGGGTCACAGCACATAATACCCATTTAGATCATGTCAAGTAAACATATATATTTGTAATAATTGTAAATATTGAATACATTTGTAAATTGCTTCTGCTAAAAATAATTTCAAACACAGCATTGCATTGCTACAAAGAAAGTTACCATGGTAAAATATAAGGAAAATAAGTTGATTGGTCTGTAATTCGTACTTCACAATGTTCATAATGAAGTCAATTTTAAAATAAACTTAGTGATATATATTCAATGAAGGAAAATTAACATATATTTTTATATTGAATACATATTTATTTCTTTTCAATTTAAAAATGTTTGTACTTGTATATTGGCTTATATGTATTTTTGCATTAAATTTCAAATATTAATAATAATGTATCTGCTGCTGTAAGTATGAGAAGTATATTCTGAACTGCAGAAAATCTTATATTCTAGGAATTTTCAGTCAACAAATAACTCAGAAGCTAACTGTGTGTAGTCGAAATTTCTAAGTTTCTCATTTTTAAAAGTATGAAATAATAAAACCTAAATGCATTTAAAAGTGATGAGTATTTTGAAGACTTATGTCAACTATCCTAATACATCTGTAATTTTAAAGTCTAATTTTTACAACGTATCTTTTCATTTTTTACAGTGGAATATAAAAACCTATTTACTAAGGCAAATTATTATTGGTGGCAAAGCATATTGAGCGGCAGTTTAGAATACCTGTGCCTAACTGGTTTTGACTTCCTCTCCGGCTTCATCCTGATGTTCTGGGAGCACAGTGGATGACTGCTCAAGCATTTGAGTCCCTGATGCTGCTGTGGGAGGCCCAGATAAAGTTTCTGGCTACTGCTTTTGGCCTACCCAGGCTTTGCTTTTGGTTGTGGCAGGCATATAGGGAGTGAACCAACAAATTGAAGCTCTCTCCTCCCTCTCTTTCCCTGTATCCTCTACTCCCAACTATGACTTTCTCTTTATGACTCTTTCCTCCTCTTGGTATTTTGCCTTTCAGATAGATACATCTTAAAAAAAAAAATGCCCTATTTCTAGGTCTTTTAGGTCTTCCATGTAAAAATAGCTTATCTTTCAGATGAATCATCAGCAAATATTTCAGTGTTTAATATGCTAAACTATAACTAATAAAATGCCAAATGAATAAATAAATCAGAGATAAAGTTTTTAATAAATCTGTATTAAAATGGTTACTATGTTAGTGTAAACATTTTTGTATTTGGTATTCATGAAGACTTAGATATAAATCAAAGGAAGGAGCCAAAACTCTAACTTAGACATTAGTTAATGCTCTTGAAAGTCAGCTTCGGGGCTTCACTGAGGCTGAGTTAAGCCACTGCTTCCAGTGTCAGCATTCCACACAGGAGCTAGTTTATCTTCCTGCTGCTCCTGTTGGCAAATCAGCTCTCTGCTAAGGCGCCTGGGAAACCAGCAGAAAATGGCCCATGTCCTTGGGCCCTCCACCCACATGGAACACCTTCAGTTCTGTCATCATCTAACCCAGCCCTGGCTATTGCAGCCGTTAGGCGAGTAAACCATCAGACTAAAGGTCTCAACTGCTCTGTAATTCTGCCATTCAAAGAAATACAGAATTATTGTCTTATATTTTTAAAGAGGAGCATTTTGAAGCTAAAATCCCAAAGAAAAATAATTACTGGTTATAATTATATATTTCCATTGAACTTATCATTTTACCAAAAAATGTATTGAATTTCTTAAATGTAAATTAGTATGTTGTAGCGTACATATGTAGCTAATGTGTCTCATATTTTTGTCGTGAATTCAGCTCAAAATAGAAAAGTTCAGGAGTTGATCACAAAATTAGAACAAGTAGGTCAAGTTCTCATTTTAAGAGGATTAAAGTCTGATAACCATGGCCTTCACTTTTTGGTTACAACGGTGATATTGAATATGTGCTTTTTTCTTTGGGGGACAATCACAGGATTTTCTGTTTCTCTGATTCATTATCAAGGATCCATTCCCCGGTGATAAACTGCAATGCTCCTACTAACAGGTTTATAATGGCTGCTTAAGCTTTACATGTTGTAAGCATTCGAAGACATCACTCACCTTGTTCAAGTGGTTGGCTTTTAGTTGAAGAAGTTTTCATCTTGAGCGCCTCCCTAACAGACATGTCACAGCAGGAGCCTTTGTTAGTGTCTTGGTCACTGTCAGCCTGATCACTGTCCCCGTGCCCACTGTCTCTCAGGCTGGCTCTTTCTGGGTCCTTAAACGTCGAGCTACTGAAATACATATAAAGACAAAGAAGAGAAAGTGTTGTCTCTACTAGTTTGAATCTGAAGTGTAGTCTCTTGCAAAGCAATTTTGACAGGAATGCAAATGGGGAAGCTGAGAAAGTTATTTAATCGGCCTTACCTTTGAACAAACTGCTGCCTGCTGCCCATGTAATTGGGCTCTGCGGGAAAATTGTCTGTCTGTGAAAGAGAAGGAAAAAAAATACGTATAGTTGTACACTGGACAAATCTCCTGCAGAGCAACAAGATTTCCTAGTGGAAAAATGATTAATAATTCAAAAATTCCCTTAATCTTCAGATTTGTACATTTTAATTAAATTGGAAATTGCTGACATGTAATTATGTACTCAGAACAATTAAATGATTCCGGTCCACAAATTACCTGTTAAAGTAAACAATGAGCCTGTCAGAACTGGCATTCTCTGTTAGCACCAGGATGGATAGTACTGTGTTGTTTCATTACTTAGATATAAAGATTGAATATTTGTGGGAGGAGCAGAAAAATGACCTCATTTCTTCGTATTAAAAATGTGAATTATTTAATAATACTCATTTTTAAGCATAATTACCTAATCTGCTGGGATTCTATGTCCTTACTGATATAATATCACATGAAGGCATTCACTCCTCAATTAACAGATACGGGGCCTTTCCTTCAAACTTTGCCAGTAACTGATACAAAGATGTCACATATGGATGAACTCATCTCTGTCATTCATGGTTAACTATATCCCGATTACTGAAATAATATTCAAAGAATTCAGTAGAGGAAAAATGTAATTCTTTCTGGATATTGAAAGAAAACCAAAATAAAAATTAGGAAGGGAAAGTGTTACTTAGAACATGCAGAGTAAAGACGTTCAGGAACTAGGCTTCTTGTTTTTCTGCTTGTTTATACTGCTTCCAAACTGGTGTGGACGTCTGCCAAAAAGAACTGAATTCTCCTTGTATCACAGAACAGAGTCTTTTGGGAGAAAGAGACTGGATCTTTCATAGATCTGCCTATACTGTACATTCATACACATTTCTTTCTCTTGCAGCTGACTCAGTGACAAAGCTTCGCCTGTTTTCTCATCACTTCATATCACACCATTATGCTCTGAAGCAGCTATGGGTCCGTACAACACCGTCCAGCACACAAGTATCAGTAACACAGGAAGCAGAGGGCCCAAGGTAAGGCTTAATGTAGTTCAATATGTGCTTTCTATATCAACAAGGCTAGTTTAAAGTAAGAGTATTCTGTTTCTTTCTATATGATAATTTATTTGGCTTTGTGAACTATTGAAAAAAAAAACATATTAAGGCAAATATTTCAAGCCTTATGTTAAGCTTGAGTGTTTACTAGGAGTTTAGATGTAAGGAAACCACCAAAAATTTCTCAATCTGTAATCTTTCTGTATATGCTTTTTGTCCAAAGGATTCTCTTTAAACTACGTATAAATATCAAGGGGAGGGGAGCAGATTAATTTCTCACTTTTAACTATTAGGTGGCAAGGATATTTTCATTATCATGTTGTACTAGTTTTTGTGACTTTAATGATAAATTATCAATTTAAATAATAGCTTGACCTGCTTATATAACTAATAGTGAAGCTTAAACTCCATAGTGAAAATGTTTTCCAGAAAATGTCACTAATTTTAAGACAATGACTACTTGGAAACTTCACAAATTGAACAGACTCTAGCTAGCCCTTCGAATTGATTTAAAAAAAAAAAAAATCTAATCAATTATTGGTGTCAGTTAAAAGCTTAGAAGAAGTGTCAGAACATTTGAGGAAAATAAAATCTTGGAGAGAAAGAAAAAAGATAAAATGCAATGTGAAAATAGAAACTTATTCATCATCCTAAAGAGTTTTGTGATTTTAATCAAGTAGAAGGCCTATTTGATTACAGACAGAAATAAATGGAAACACTTTTCTCTTCTGTTTTAATAATAATAGTATAAATAACGCTACAATGTATTAAAAAGCTAAACAATTGCAAAACAATGAGAAACACATGAAGAAATAAAATACACCCCCAATTGAATGAAGAACTAATAAGGGTGATAGCTGCATCTGTTTCCTTGTGTGAATGTGAACCTAGAAAGAATGAGAATGTCTGATTGCTGCTGCTACCAAACCTTGTTTTGAAGAAAGTAAGAAAGCAAGAAGTAAGGAGAAATACAGGGATTTAGGCAAAGAAAAAGAGAAAGCACAGAGAAACAAAAACAGATGAAAAAGCACATGAAAATGCAGAGTAAAAAAAAAAAGCAGAAACAAAAATATATGGAAAGGGAAGGAAACCAGGTGAGAAGCCAAGAGAAGCAAATAAAAATTAATTTAAAAAAAAATAAAAGGAAGAAAGAGAGAAATGTTGCATATGATTGCAGAATTTCAGGAAGTGCAATTTAAAGGTTTGCAATTTAAGTAAAAAAGTATCGAAAGTTTATTATAATGTCTGAACTTATCCATTAAAGAGGATTAGGAATGGGAAATTCTGAGAGTGGGAATATAATTACCATAATGAAAGTAACCATTTGCCTTTTAACAAAAAGGTAACTAATTCAGTATTAAAACCATACAAGTTAAATATAGAAAGTAACATGTTCATTATAGAAGCTACAAGGGCATCTCAAAACTCGATTTAAAAATATGGATACCAAATAACATTATTTGAATAAAAAAAATTAAAAAGAGGAAAAGCATATCCCAGCATCATTTAACTTGGAGAGTGTAGTACTTTTAGATAATTTACAACACTGTATTCTAAAAGCTGAATTCTAGTTTCTACATTTACAACTCCTAAGTTTTAAGTCACAGAAAAAGAATAATTATTAGGGTATATTCTTTTAAGTTTTCAACTCTCTGCAGAATAATTTTATATATACATATTTATAGCTTTTGAAAATATTTCCTTCTTTCTTACAAATTGCTACAGTGTTTTATCTTGAAACTTAATTTAAACATAGTCACTTTTAACTATTATTTCAGGAATACGTAGTTTTATGATAAAAAATAAGGTAATTTGAACTAGAGGATATATACATGAATGCTAATAAGACATTATGAAAAATTAAGTTATATTCATTTATTCTTTCAATATCTAAGAATAAGTGAAGCAAAATTATTTTTGAAGTTTTAATTTTAAAGTGTTACTTGCTAATTATAAAAACAGATCTGAACTGACATAAAACCAATTGTGTCCTATTTTTATTTTTCTATTTTTTTTTTACAAAAGTTTACTTGTTAATGATAATAAAATTTTGTTCAGGGAACAAAGAAACAAATTTAGTAACCAGGTAAACTAACATTTGAAGTGAATAAAGTCTCCAGGATATGATTTTTATTCATTATTTGCCTTGATTCATTTTTCTGTCATTAACCAGGAGACTAAAATATATTTACAAATGGTGTTCAAACTTTGTCAGCACTATTAAATAAATAGACTGTGACACCCTGTACAACTTGTACACTCTACTAGAATTCAATAACACAAATGATGATTTCAAAACAATGTGCCCCCTAGAAAGTTCCCCCAAAAGCACCTTGTGATAGTGAACTATATTGGTTGAAATTAGGAAAGCTCTTTGTTTGTTGAAGTAGATTTTAAATGGCTGCTTGAATGTGCCATAAAAAGTTGACCTGAAAGTAGAATTGAGTCAAAGGAGAATTTTTTTTTACGATTAAAAATTGAAAAAAAAAAAACCTCACCAAATAAGCAAATTTTATTAATTGTATTAAAAATAATGTTCTGCAAACTGAGAATGAGAGGAACTTCATCAACTGGATCAAAAGTATCTACAAAAAGAAGAGTAGAGCTATAGCCACCATCATGCTTAACGATGACAGATGGAAACTTTTCTCCAGGCAAGGAGTTTCACTCTCACAATTCCTACTCATCACTGTCCTAAAAACCTTATCAAGTTCAATCAGGCAGAATAAAATATAAGTTAAAAGTGTACAATTAAGAAGAGAAGAAAAATGATTTGCAAACAACATTATTATAGTTACAGATAATACCGCTTTGTAAAAAGACACTTCTGAGAGGTAATTAAAACTGAATTCAGCAAAATCGTTACATTCCAGCTCATCACACAAAATCAATCACATCTCTGCATTCTAGAATACGCTATTGGAAAAGTTAAACTTCAAAATGATGTGTTTATAACAGCACCCAAAGATCAAATGCTTAGTAAATACAAAAAAAAAAAAGTAGAAAAGATATGCTGAATGATGAAATACTTTTTAAATCCAGAGTATTTGCAGAGTACAAAATTCAGAATAAGAAAGATGTCAATGTTCCCAGATAATTCATGCATGCCATACCATTCCATTTAAATCCCAAGCAGGATATTCTATAGAGGCAAATACAAGATTTCTTAAATTTACATTAAAATATAAATAAATCATGGTAAACAAAAAAAAATGAGAAACAGAATCAAGTCAAAAGGACCTACTACAGCACGGTTTAATTAAAAACTTATTATAGAATACATATTCATAAAGGGAGTAGTGCCAAACGAATGGACCTATAAAAGAGGGAAATAAACAGAATATCCAGAAGTAGACCTACACAAACAACAGTTTAATTGATCATTCAGTAGAAATGCTCCATGACCTACATCTAAATATGGGTTTTTGGATTAATACAAAGTGTAAAATTATAAAATTTTTAAGGAAACCTAACATAAAATCATTGTAACCTGACATTAAGCAGAGCCCTTAGACTTCTTGCTAAAGCATGATCCATAGAGGAATGAAAAAATATTGGACTGAAAATAGTGGTTACTGGTTTTTAAAAAATGAAATTTTCAACATAATTTAAAATCAAACTACAGCCTTGGAGAAAATACCTATAATAGAGTGCGCAGTAAATGTAAGGTCCTCTAAGTTAAACAGTGAGAAGGGGTGGGTCTTCATCATAATGGTTAATACGCTGCTTTGTAAGCCCACATCACATACTGGCATGCCTTATTCTTTTCTGTTTTTAATGCCTATTTATTTGTTTATTTTGTAAATCATAATTCCAGAGAGAGAGAGGGAGAAATAAATTTGCTATTTTACTTCCCAAATTGCCAAAACAGTTAGACTTAGATTGGGTCCTTGTAGGTGGCAGAGATGCCAACACTGGGGCCATTTTTGCTGCTTTTCCCAGATTATTCACAGAGTGAGAAATCACAAGTGGAGCCACCAGGACAC